CCCCTCCTCCCCTCGATTTCTACTTTCTCACCACCTCCCTCTCCCCTCCCCACTCGGACTAAATCTACCCTCCGCCCGAATGATCCTCTCTCGCTCCTTCGAAATCGAGGGGATCGTCCCACGCGTCGATCCTTCGTCGACGCATTACGAGAAGGAATCGACTAGGAGGAGGAAAGGAAGAGGAGAGAGGGGTAAAGGAGGAAGCTCTCGATAAATGGGGAAATCAGCGATTCCACCATTCTCTAGCCGCGATAACAATCGTTCCATTATTCGATTTCGATGCGTGCACGAAGCAAAAAGAAGAAGAAGAAGAAGAAGAAGAAGAAGAAGAAGAAGAAGAAAGAGAAGAAGAAGGGAGGAGGAGGTATGGTTCAGGAGAGGTATCGCGGAATACAGAAGAATTTCGAGCTGTGCCGCAGGTGCAGTGGAGAACACGATCGGCAAAGATCGAAGACTGGTGTAATCGGGTTCGAGGAATCGGATCGAGGGAGCGGAATCGATGAAGACACGTCGGATCGCCAATAACGATTATCCCGGATACTACGGAGGAGTAGTGGTGGTGGTGGTGGTATCATCGTACTCCCCGCGTGGTATTCAACGAGCCTTGTTATACGCTCGTTGCGGCGGCGCATTGTCGATCGAGCTCCAATGGTTTCGCGGAATCCCACTACTACCCCGCGGTGGCCGTAACATCCGCGACGCTACTAGCGAAATCGATCTGGTACACCGATCTGAAACATTATCCACCACGCGGGGATTGAATTTGAGGGAAATTCCGAGATTTTTCTTCTTTCTTTTTAACCACCTCCCTTCGCAAATATATATATTTTTTCTCCTTTTAAAGATACGAGTTTACGAAATTGAACATTATTGGTTAAACGAGCATTATTATTCTCGATTAGAGAAAAAGAAAAAAAAAAGGAAACGTTTTAACTCTCGCGCTCGAAATTACGATGACACTCAGTTAGAGGACTCGTTCGAATAAAATAAAATTCGTGCGAATAAAATACGCAACGCGATTAGTATTCATTGTTCGCGATTCAATTGCGTGCGTTCGATAGATCGTGGAACGGCGTCATCATCATCATCGTCATTATCATCCCGTGCTTCGACCGCGGCAAGAAATTCCGAGCGGGCGAACGGTATAGCGACCGCAGGGCAATCAGCGTTAACAATGTTTTATTGTTACGTCACGGATCGGATCGGATCGGATCGGATCGGATCGGATCGTGCACGTAGCAGACGGATGGACAGCCGTGCATTAAGCTTATCATAACGGTGTGCCGTTAAGTCGCCGTCAGGCCGAACCCTTTCCCCTTCCCCCCTCCCTCCTCT